TTCCAGTCTAATGTAATTGTAGTACTAATTGTATTTCTCTTATTATAAATGAAGTTGAACATCTTTTTATATATGAAAAGCCACCAATATTTCCTGCTCTGTGAAGTCTGTTAATATCCTTTGCCCATTTTTCTATCATATTGTTTTTTATTGATTTTTATTGATTATAAAGGAAATCATCCTTTACAATATACACTGCAAATACTTTTCAATTTTGACTTTCATCTTTTGACTTTGCATATATGTTTTACTTTATAGACTTAGACTTTTTTTTTTTTTTTGTATCAGATTTATCCATCTTTTCTCCCACAATTTCTTCTAGTGCTTTTGTGTTTAATTTTATGTTTAACTTTTGATCCATCTGGAATTTGTTTAGGGGAATAAAGTTGGTGTACATCTAACTTAATTTTTCTTCTAAATAGTTATTTATTGACTATCTTTTATCCACTGATTTAAAATTTAATTTTTATCATAGAGTACTAAATTCTACTCCATGGGTAGAATTTATGAGTGATATCACATTCTGCTTTCTATATTTTGGTATAGTTTGTGGGGTTTTTTTGTTGTTTAAGTTTTTTAATCATGAAGCAGTCTCACTTTATAATTAGAAAAAAAAGATAATTCCATTTGAACAATAATGGATGATAAAAGAAGCATTACAAATAGATTAGTTAATATGGCTTTAGGAAAAGTAGCAGACAATTTGGAAAAATATTAGTTTCTCACATCATACTCTGAAATAAATAAATTCATAATTATTAAAGATGTAAAATATGAAACTGTAGAGAAATTTTGCCTAGAAAATATCAGTAAGCAAAAGGTCTAGGGTATTAATGTTGGCATTATTTACAATACTAATTTGAATTCTGTACAATTATTTACTCTCAGCTATATCAGTTGTTCATTAGGAACACATATGCAGGCACTTCTGTTTGCTTTGGAGGTTAGTGGTAGGCACAATCCATTCTGCTGCTTTTAGTGGGTTGTATAGATCGGGGGCTACTGGGGCCTTGGCTTTTGTTGTATTTTGATAACTGCTAACTCTTGCTTCCTTTAGGATCTTAAGTACCAGGCCCAGGATAACTTTATGATGATGGATGATGCTGTCCTCTGCATGTGTTTCAGCAGAGATACAGAAATGTTAGCAACTGGGGCTCAAGATGGGAAAATCAAGGTATGGATTAGTGACATGAGCTCTTGTTTGCAGACTTTGTGAGACTTCTGTAATGGGGTGGTGTTCTACACATGCTAAACAGCATAATAGCTAATAGTTTCTGTTGAGCATCAACTTTATGCTAATCACTTTACTTTTCCTTGTTTAATCCTATTAATAATTCTGCTTGGATGATCCAATAATGTGTTTAAGATCACACTGTTGGTAAGTGATCTGGGACTTCCGTCCAGATCTGCTCGTGCCCTTTCTGTTGTACCACCCTGGCTTATTGTATATGCTGTTTTGTACTTTGATTGGGGGGGTGGTCTACAGATGATTAGCTGTGGTTTGTATTTAATTGCTGGTATACACCCTGAGCTAGGTAAAATACAGAAATAGTCTCTGCTAAGTGAACTTAGATCTAAATTTTTGTTTTAATTTATAAGGAAAGAGTCTTAAGTGTCAAAAGATTCAACTATCGTTGTACTGTGTGGACCAGACATATCATGTTCAGCTATTAGCATGCATTTTTAATGCTGTTTCAGTACATTAGGGAGCATTGCATCTTACTTGGCTCTGTGGGCTCTAGTGGGACACTCTACAACTTTTTATTATCTTTTTTTTAATAAAGGTATGGAAGATTCAGAGTGGACAGTGTTTAAGGAGATTTGAAAGGGCACACAGTAAAGGTGTCACCTGTCTAAGCTTTTCTAAGGATAGCAGTCAGATCCTTAGTGCCTCTTTTGACCAGACAATTAGGTAAGTAAGAATCCCAAACTGCCCTCACTTGGGTTTTGATATAAGGTGGCTCTGGAGGGAGGTACTAGTGATTCTTTATGCTTTCACCAAGACGGTGTGATACAGAGAGTGAGGGTACATGAGACCCTGTTTCCCCAAAGTATAGCGATATAGTGCTGTTCTTCAGTTCATTTGAAGTTTTTACCCAGAAGAGATTAGAAAGGGATTATAGCAGTGTATCATGTTTCTCAAAGTGTGGTCTGTGGACCCACCTTAATCCTAATGACCTTAGAAGGTCTATTACGGGTTCCTGGGACCCAGCTGAGACTTGCTGATTCTGAATCTCTCGCTAACTAGTTTTTTAGAGGTCCATCCCTGAACTGAAGCTTGTGTTATTACTGGCGTATTTTCATCCAGTCTTGTTCTGTGCAAAGCTTTTGTTTTGGTTTTATTTCATCGTTTGATATAATGAAAATTATATGCATACACAATTGCATAGTCCTTTTTCTTCACTTAATATTATAACATGAGCTTCTATAATTCATCTCAAATGCATTCCACACTTGATCCCAACCATAATATGTACCATATTAATTGTTCTTTTTATTTGCTTTCATTTGTGATAGAATTCATGGTTTAAAATCTGGGAAAACCCTGAAGGAATTTCGTGGCCACTCCTCCTTTGTTAACGAAGCAACATTTACACAAGATGGACATTATATTATTAGTGCATCCTCTGATGGCACTGTAAAGGTTAAGTATTTGCTACTGGTTTATTTTGGGATGTCTGTCCCATCTTTGTCCTTTGAGGAATTTTCAGTGGTGCTAATGTGATTGTGGTGGAGTAACCTTCTTTACCACCTATTTTAACCATAACTGAAGTGAGTATAAGGCAACAGTAATATTCTGTGGGTAATCCCCATTGTGGCCTAGAGACCCAAAATCTCAAATCTGTACGATTCAGTTTGTGGAGTCCTAAACTTAAGTCATCCCTCATTTACAGATACACATAGTGGTTAAATCTGTCTTGCTGTAGGTATGGCCCATCGCCTAATAGTCAGATTGACAAAAGGGCTCAGTGGCCAAATAGATCTCTTTTTTGTTGCACAGCCTCACCCCACCCCTGGTCCCCGAATATAGGGCCTTCGTAACAGCATGTATAGAGTAGTAGAAGAGGTGTAGAGTAGAATTAAGCCCTCTCTTAGATACTTATTTACTGCCCTCAGCTCTCAGCTGTAAGTAATGGATCTTCACTACCTTAAAAGATTTAGTTATTTGGGGGCTAGCTTTACTGTTGCTGCCCCCCTTATGCATAAGTCTGTCTCCTCTTAATAAAGTATTGCTTCCTGTACTGCTGGGTACATTGTTCATTTTTATGATTTTGGAATCTTAGAGCCTAATTTAATCACTGGCAAAAATTGGAAAGCTTTGGGCACCAGAGAAGATTCTAGCCGCAAGAAGCAAGTGGCCACTGGGGCTATTTTACTCCCACGTCTCTGCTGCTGGTAGATCTCTCCTGGAGTCCCTGGCCTAAATTCTGATAAGGCAATGCCTTATTCTCTTTACCTGTCTCTGATTTTCTGAGCCCTCTTCTGTTTAGTTGGATTGTATCCACTACTATGTAGGTGTCCCCTGCAGGGCTCCTGGCTATGCTTTGTTTTTCTGATTTAAATCTAGTCGATACTTTTCTTCTTTATGCTGAAAACAGTGGGGAGAACTGCTTTTATCAATTACTGCCAGTGGAATAGATTGGCCCTGCCAACTGGGACTAGGGTAAACTGGACCCCACTGCTCCTTTTTTCTCTTTGTTTCTTTGCTTGGTTAGACATTTAGTTGAGTACTGGTAATATGAATAAACCTTCCAATCCTTTTATCAAAAAAAAAAAACTGTAAGTAATGGATCTTCACTACCTTAAAAGATTTAGTTATTTGAAGAGAGGGTCTCATTTCCTAGGAAAGATATGAGAAACCCAAATAGAAAATTGCTGGAGATCTTTGAGACACTCCATTTACTTTCTGGACCTGCTTATATTAAATTGATTAATATAAGTGAGTGTTTTGTGACAGAGATCTAGAAATTTTAACATGAAAACCTAAAAGTCAGACCACTCTCTGAAATTGCTTTTGGTTGGGAATTGAACCAGAAACCTGAAGGCAAGAGATATACTCTCCCTTGGGATGGACGGGGAAACACACACAACTCTTAGTACATTAGTCATGGGATTTGCCCTCTTTGTACTGTGCATATGGGTCTCACAACTTGTAAATGCCATTGGGAAGTGGATTGTCTAGGCCTCTTTATTTTGTGGTCTTTCCCATAGTTCTGCACTGAGTGAGGTAAAGCATCTCACTGACCTTTTGGTTCATCCCTTCTTAAAGCACATCTCAGACTTCTCTGTTGTCTGATTTAATCACTTTAGTTCATAAGAACCCAGAAGGACAAGATGAAAAGCATTAGGTGGAGAACTATTACCAGAAGGGGTGTTGGACTGAGAGAAGTAATACAAGTGGCCATGATGGGCTTTCACTTTATGGATCCTTATGTGTGTGTGCTAACATTGTGACTTTTTAGTCTTTATCAGTACAAGCTATACATTAGAATCATTGTGGAACCTTTTAAAAAGGTCCATGTCTGTGCCTCACTCCAGACCTACTGAATCAGAATCTCAGGAAGGTATGGATCCTTATGTGTGTGTGCTAACATTGTGACTTTTTAGTCTTTATCAGTACAAGCTATTAGAATCATTTGTGGAACTTTTTAAAAAGGTCCATGTCTGTGCCTCACTCCAGACCTACTGAATCAGAATCTCAGGAAGGGTCCCAAGCTAAAAGGCCCTCATTTGGTTTTGATGTTCAGACAAGGGTAGCTTCTGGTTGTTTATGATGGTAGCAGTGTTGACACATAACTAATTTTAAAGATAGGTAGCTCTGTTAGCTAAGGAAAAGTGTGTAAGAAAAGATTATAGATTTTAAAAGGTTTTTATTATTTAGTTTATGACTTTTATTTTGTTTATGCCAATTAATCAACAAATAGATGAGTGCTTACTATATATATGGCAACGCTAGGTATTTGATTAGACCTAAAATCTAGTAAGAAGTTTTTTTTCTAAGTCCGTTTTACTCTTTTTTAGTAACCTAATATTTAATTTTTTTAAACCCTAAGGTTTTAGAAATTCTTATACCCTCTAAAATGTTTATGCCTTAAATTTTTATGTGGTAGATCTGGAATATGAAGACCACAGAATGTTCAAATACCTTTAAATCCCTGGGCAGCACTGCGGGGACAGACATTACTGTTAACAGTGTGATCCTCCTTCCTAAAAATCCAGAGCACTTTGTGGTGTGCAACAGATCAAACACAGTGGTCATCATGAACATGCAGGGGCAGGTGAGTATCCAGAAAGTACCTTCGCACAGGGCCTGTGGGCCATTTGCAAATCAGCATGTCCTGGTCCTGGCTCTGCCAGTATCCAAATATGGGTTCACCACTCTGGAAACTGTATAAAATGTATTTATTTTCAGACACTTATTTAAACTATAGCTCTAAAAAATCTCTTTGGTGGTTCAAAAGCTATCTGCTTTTCCCTGGCTGTTTGTATTTTGTGCTATTTCTTCATCTTTTGGATAATTGAGGCTCTGATCTGTCTTTAAGCCTCCTTCAGAACCTCATTGAAGATTTTCAGATAACAATCTTTGTCTAAGTTAGGGAGATACAGTGTGGTGTGGATTACCAACTTGGGACATCTCCTAGTTACCACATGATCCAAAAGCGGAACACTAATAGGAGAAAGGCAGTAGTGTCCTTATGATGTGTATTTGTAATCAGGACACCTGCAACTTCCTAAGGAATCTCACTTTTGTGGACAGTGAGATAGCATTGAGGCATTAGAGCATCAAGGTTGAGGTCTCAAGCCCTGGGCATGTGTCATGGTGCCACTGGAATGTTGGCCTAGACACTTGGGGATCCTGCTGAGCATGGATAAGACCCAGGGGCTGGTGTGTGATGCTTTCTGTCGATCTTGTGAGTCCTACAACTGATGAAGTTCAGAACCCATGGCTGAGGTGGCTGGTCTGCAGTATCTGTTGGGCCACTGCATAATAGCCACAGCTGCCCAGAGCATCTACTGAGCACACTTCATAGTTCTCTACTTGACTTTTCAAAGATTTTTGTTTGAAAAATTAATTGTAGATTCACACAGAAGTTGCAAAAATCGTACAGAGAATTTCTGTGTACTCTTCTAGCTTCTCCCAGTGATAACATCTTACATAGTACAATCATTAAATTGCAAAATTGACATTGGTCCAGTACTGTTAACACAATTAAAGACCTTATTTGGATTTCATCAGTTTTTATATATTCATTTTTTTCTGAGGCAGGGATATAATAGTTCTATGAGGTTTCATCACATATATAGATTCATGTAACCAACACCACAATCAGAGTACAGAACTATTTTATCACCCCAAGGAAACTGATGCTACACCTTTAGAGTCACAGCCTTCCCATAATCCTAACCCTTAGCAACCACTGATCTGTTTTTCCATTGTTATAATTTTGAGATTTAAAAAAACAGACTTTATTTTTTAGAGCAGTTTTAGGTTTTCAACAAAATTGAGCAGGAGACAACAGTTTATCCATATACCTCCTGACCCCACACATACATAGCCTTCCCCATTATTAACATCCTCCATCAGAGTGGTACATGTGTTACAGTTGATGAACCAACATTGACACATCATTGTCACACAAAGGCCATAGTTTACATTAAGGCTCACTTTTGGTGGTGTACATTCTATTGGTTTGGACAAATGTATAATGGCATGTGTCCACTGTTACAGCGTCATTCAGAGTAGTTTTACTCCCCATTAGATTCTCTGTGTTCTTCCTATTTATCCCTTCCTTTCGCCTAACTTCTGGCCATCACTGATTTTCTTCTTTCTTTGTTTTTTTACTATCTCCATAATTTTGCCTTTTCCAGAAAATCATATGTTTGGGATCAAACAGTATGTAACTTTTTCAGATTGACTTTTTTCACTTAATAATATACATTTAAATTTCCTCATTTTTTCATCACTTGAGAGCGTATTTCTTTTTAGTGCTGAATAATAAATATTCCATTGTCTGGATGTACCACAGTATATTTATCCATTCACCTACTGAAGAACATCTATTTAAATTTCCTCATTTTTTCATCACTTGAGAGCGTATTTCTTTTTAGTGCTGAATAATAAGTATTCCATTGTCTGGATGTACCACAGTATATTTATCCATTCACCTACTGAAGAACATCTTGGTTGCTTCCAAGTTTTGGCAGTTATGGATAAAGCTGCTATAAACATCTGTGTGTAGGCTTTCATGTGAACATAGATTTCAGCTCCTTTGGGTTTATTCCAAGTAGTGTGATTGCTAGATTATATGGTGAAGTATGTTTAGTTTTGTAAGAAACTGCCAGATTGCTTTCCAGAGTGGCTGCATCATTTTGTATTCCTACCAGCGATGAATGAGAGCTCCTGTTGCTCCACATCCTCTCCAGCATTGGGTGTTGCCAGTGTTCTGGATATTGGCTGTTTTAATAGGTGTCTAGTGGTATCTAATTGTTTTAATTTACATATTCCTAATGATATAAGATGTGAAGTGTCTGTTAAGGTCTTTGATCCATTTTTCTTTTGGGTTGTTTGTTTTCCTACTATTGGGTTTTAAGAGTTCTTTGTATATTTTGGATAAGTCCTTTATCAAATAGGTTTTTTGCAGTTATTTTCTCCCAGTGTGTGGCTTTTCATTCTCTTGACAGTGGCTCTCACAGAGCCAAACTTTTTAATTTTAATGAAGTCCAATCCATTCCTTCTTTCATGGATTGTGCCCTTGGTGTTGTATCCAAAAAGTTATCACCAAGGGCCGGCCCGTGGCTCACTCGGGAGAGTGTGGTACTGATAACACCAAGGCCACCAGTTCGGATCCCATACAGGGATGGCCAGTTAGCTCACTGGGTGAGTGTAGTGCTGACAAAAAGTTATCACCAAACCCAAGATTTCCTAGATTTTCTCCTGTGTTATTTTCTAGGAATTTGAAAGTTTTGAATTTTATATTTAGGTCTGTGATCCATGTTGAGTTAATGATTGTGAAGAGTGTAAGGTCTGTGTCTAGATCCATTTTTTGCATGTCCAGTTGTTCCAGCACCATTTGTTGAAAAGACTGTTCTTTCTTCATTGTGTTGCTTTCACTCCTTTGCCAAAGATCACTTGACTATATTCATATGGGTCTATTTTTAGGCTCTCTATTCTGTTCCATTGATCTTTTTTTATTCTTTCGCCAGTACTACACTGTTGTCTTGATTACTGTAGCTTTATAATATGCCTAGAAGTTGGGTAGTGTCAGTCCTCCAACTTTGTCCTTCCTCTTCAATATTGAGTGGACTATTGTGGGTCTTTTGCCTCTCCTTATAAACTTTATTTATTTAATTATTATTATTTTTTTTGTCTGCTGGCTGCTGTGGGGATCCAAACCCTTGATCTTGGTGTTATAACACTGCACTGTAACCAGCTGAGCTAACGAGCCAGCCATTATGTGAACTTTAGAATAAGTTTGTCGATAGCCACAAAATAACTTTAGGATTTTGATTGGAATTGCATTGAATCTATAGATGAAGTTGGGAACTGACATATTGATCGTATTGAGTCTTCCTATTCATGAACATGGAATATCTCTCGGCTTATTTAGTTCTTTGAAATCTTTTATTAGGGTTTTGTAGTTTTCCTCATATAAATCTTGTATGTGTATTGTTAGATTTATAACTAATTCTTTTTGGGGGGCTGCTAATGTAAATAGTATTGTGCTTTTAATTTCCAATTAATTAATTTCAAACCCTAACCTCTGTCAATCACTGATCTGTTTTCCATTATAATTTTGTCATTTTGAGAATGGTGTAAAAATGGAATCTTATAGTATGTAACCTTTTAGTCTTTGAGATTGGTTTCCCTCAGCTTTATTTATGATGATTTTAATGTTATATAAAACACAGCAAGCAAAGTCTTGGAGATGAAGTTCCATCCTGCATGGGGAGAGCATCTTTTCTCTTAGAAAGAGGAAACTGGGGAGCATGAGTCCAGAAATCATTGAGAAGTAGTGGTATGTTGATTTATAAAATTGTTGTATATGTGGTAATGAATTGCTTAAGGATAATAAGGCTCAATAAAGAGCAGGATTGGTGACTTGGGCTATATAAATTCTAAATTTCTGTCTGCCACTTACTTTAGATAGCTTATCCATTGAATGCTTCCCAGGCAAGAGGATTTAGCATGTGAATGGAACTGAAGATCTAATTATAAATGATAGTAAACCAAAGTGCAAAATAACGTAAGAATGTCAGTTTAAAATTCTGCATATGGCTGAGCTGCTGCTAATCCAGGTGTTTTGTTTTTGTCTTGGGGTGTGGCGTGCTCTAGATTGTCAGAAGCTTCAGCTCTGGTAAAAGAGAAGGTGGTGACTTTGTTTGCTGTGCCCTCTCTCCCCGTGGTGAATGGATCTACTGTGTGGGAGAGGACTTTGTGCTCTACTGTTTCAGCACAGTCACTGGCAAACTGGAGAGAACTTTGACAGTGAGTATTACTGACTAAGGTCATCTAAAGAAATTATGGTAATGCTTGTGTCCTTCTGAACTCTGAAGTACATACTTTTCCAGACTGACTGCTGTCAGTGTAAACCTTAGTTTAAAAAACATAATGGAGGCATTTTATCACTAAATAAAATAAAGTGTCCATAAATAATTGTATGAAATTACTTCCTCTATCAGGAAAAGTTGTCCTTCAGCTTCAGGTGGAAAGAATGGGTGTACATAAAGCAGAGAAGAAGGAAGGGAACATACTCGTCTAGCTAGCTAGATTAACCAGTTCTTTCTCATTGGGGTTGCAGAAGGACAGATAAGTACTTCCCCCCTGTCCTTTTGGAGGCAGATTACTTGTACTCCATCCTATCAAACCGATTGAGATGTTTTAAAAACTTTCAGCTCCATATTATTAGAGTTAGTACAAGGAGTAATTAATACCAGCAGCAAGGACTGGCTGGTTAGCCCAGTTGGTTAGAGTGTGGTGCTAATAATCCCAAGGTCCAGGGTTCCGTGTCTGTACTACCTAGCTTCACTGTACTGGCCATCTGCCAAACAAACGAACAAATGAACAATGCCAGCAGCTGTAACAGACAGTCCCCAAATCTCAGTGGCTTTACACAGTCAAAGTTTATTTCTTCTTATGTCACTTTTTTAGCTGTGCCATTTGGAATGTGTAGCCTCCTAAGGTCTCTTCTCCCCTCCCACCCAGCTCTGGAAGCCTCTTCAGAGTGATTTGTTGTAGACCTGTACACTCTAACCCTGTGCTTTCCCTGTTCCAGGTTCACGAGAAGGATGTGATTGGTATTGCGCATCACCCTCATCAGAACCTGATTGCTACCTACAGTGAAGATGGACTCCTAAAGCTCTGGAAACCCTAATGCAACTTTTCTTTTTTGTTTTCTTTTTTGGAGGCTGGCAGGGTATGGGGATCTGAACCCTTGACCTTGCTGTTATCAGCACCACGCTCTTCCAAGTGAGCTAACTGGCCAACCCCAACTTTTCTTTTTAAATTAGCTTGAAAGCATGTACTTAAATGAAGACATATTGATGTGTTGCTTTTTTTTAGGTCAGCTTTTCTAAGCAAACGGATTGTCTGAATTAGCCACAGAATAATTTTGTGAAAATTCATGTTTACATAGTAGTTACCTTTTTAAATATATTTTTAAGGTATTAGTTTATCTGCTTCTAACTAGAGCAGTCACTTAATGTATCATTAATCTTCTACCTGGAGAGTGAAATACTGATATTTCTAGAAAAAACCTGTACTCCTTTGATTTGAAATGCTGAATAAAATGTGCCTCCCATAGTAAAACTTGTAAATAAGGAAGGAACTGTCCCATAGTCGGTAGCTGTGTTTCATTTTTTTTTTAAAGATGTTAATAAACTTTACACCTTTCTGGAGACTTTGTTTTTAAATGTAAATAAGTGCTCACGTAAAACTTGTAAATAAGGAAGGAACTGTCCCATAGTCGGTAGCTGTGTTTCATTTTTTTTTAAAAGATGTTAATAAACTTTACACCTTTCTGGAGACTTTGTTTTTAAATGTAAATAAGTGCTCACCTAGTTATCGTATTTACTTAGAATCAGGTGGAGGGAAGAAGTTAACATTATCCCTGAATCTCAAGTCCAGCAGGAAATCAATTCCTGGGGTAATAGGATAGACTGACATGTAAAAACGCCAGGTGGTGCAGTGCATAGGGTCTCATATCAATGCCCGTACTCTTCCACTCATTCTGAGTTGCCCTTCTCACATGCTCATGCCAGTTACAGGATATATTGTCTTCATCTTCGGGGTGGAATTAGTTGCAGGATCCATTTTGAGAATTCAGAGTTTTGGCATCTCCCTTTTGTATGTGGAGGAAAGTTTGGCATTGAAAATGTGCTGTTCTGAGGAAAAATTAGAAAAGGACCCAAGAATTGTCTCTTTCTCACTGTGCATCGTTACCAGTTAGTTAAAGAAGAAGACTTAAAAACTAACAAAACCCTTGAAAATATTTTGCACATGGTTGTCATGTTTCAACTAAAAATGAACACCTGTGATGATGTATGAAGATATTGTGCTAGGCACCATTTTGAGAAAGTGGATTCTTATTCTGAAAGCCTTTTATGCTCCCTTTTAATATTAGCATTTGTTAGGTACAAATTTGGGGGAAGTTTTTTAAAAGTTTTGCAGTCTTGTAATTTACCTTTGATTGTGACGACATGCAGCCTGATTCTGTGCCTGGCACTTAGTAATTCTCAATATTGGCTGAATTAATTGTGAGCAGCAGTAAGAAATCCCTCTTTCCCATTTGCATCCTATAACTCAATTCCCTTTTGCGACAAAACCTGTAGGTTTTTGGCCTAGGTAATGTCATTCGTTGCCATTTTGGTGTTTTAAAAACACTAGTGGGAATTGAACATAGTTCAGGATTCATGTGTATGTAGCCTGCCATCCCAGTGGAAAGAGGCATTTATTTATGTAAAAGAAGTGGATGTTGGGAAAATAGAGTAATTTAATCGGACCCCCTCGCCTCGGGGCAGGTTGGGTGGTGCATTCTTTGTGGGCAGGTTGTGTGTGGGTGGAGTTAGTACATCTGCGCTGCACTATCACCTTGGCTGGACTTTACTGTTAGGGTGGCCGCAGCAGCACCAAGCTGCCATGCTTTCCAATCTATGGCTCCAAGGACCTGTTTGCCATTTACCTAGCTCACAGACCTGCGTGTAAGGGGTCTGGGGACCCAGCCTGGCGTATGAAGGGTTTGTGACCCAGCCTGGAACGGGCTTGGGGGGGTCTGTGAGCTCCAGACCCAGCCCTAGCTCGACAATTGGCCCAGTCGGTGCAGGATTAAGGGCAGGTAAAAGAGCCCGGCAACTGGCGTGGTCGCCTAGCTTTACAGTTGGTGTCACAAACAGGATTAAGAGCCGAGCGCTACAGTCGGAAAGAGGAAACAGCTTATGATAAAATTTAGAAAAACCTCTGAGAAGGATTTTTGATTTAGCCCTTGACCTCCTGAGCTGGCAGTTGCGAAATGCATAGGAACTTAATGCAGATCAAGAATTGACAGCACATGTTCACTTATTCCTTCTAGGCATTTTTAAGGAACACTTCTGTTCTGGCAGCAAGTGCAGAGGAAAGTTTAAAAAAGACTAATTTCTGGGCTGAGCCCGTGGCGCACTGGGGAGGGTGAGGCGCTGGGAGCGTGGTAGCACTCCTGCCACGGGTTCGGATCCTATATAGGGATGGCCGGTGCGCTCACAGCGCTCACTGGCTGAGCGTGGTGCTGACAACACCAAGTCAAGGGTTAAGATCCCCTTACCGGTCATCTTTTTTTAAAAAAATAAATAAATAAAAATAGTTTCAAGGGCCGGCCCGTGGCTCACTCGGGAGAGTGCAGTGCTGATAACACCAAGGCCCTGGGTTCGGATCCCTATATAGGGGATGGCCGGTTCGCTCACTGGCTGAGCGTGGTGCTGACAACACCAAGTCAAGGGTTAA